CAAATGGGTTTTTCGGCAAGGTTTTTAATGAGGCAACCATTGATCGTGCAGCATTTATGACAATATCCGAGGTCCCGCAAGAAAGTTATTTCATAGCAATAGGGTCCCAATAGGAAAAACTGTAAGAGCCAAATAGTCGAAGCGAACCATGCTCATATAGATTGGCCCGAACCCAGGCGTGTAATAACGTGCGAAGAAAGTTCTCTTCTCTATCGGCATCTTATATCCAAAAAAATTCCTCTATTTTGAGATTTATTGTGCAATTAGAATTATGATACATTCAACCATTAAGCCTACGGGCTACATTACTTCGAGTTCGAATCATTCACTCGACCAAGCCTACGGGCTATTTTTATTTCGAGTTCGAGCAAACACTCACTCGACCATTACGCCTACGGGCTACATTACTTCGAGTTCGAACGACTAAGCCTACGGGCTACATTACTTCGAGTTCAAACCATTCACTCGACTAAGCCAACGGGCTATATTACTTCGAGTTCGAATCATTCATTCGACTAAGCCTACGGGCTACATTAATTCGAGTTCGAATCATTCACTCGACTAAGCCTACGGGCTACATTTTCGAGTTCGAGCAAACACTCGCTCGACCATTACGCCCACGGGCTATATTTCTTCAAGATCGAATCATTGACAACTAATAAGCCTAAAGGGCTACATTGCCCCAAGTTTGAGTAAACGCTCGCTCGGTTATAGAGGCTACGAGGTCCAAATTTGATTAAGTTGTTTAAAATATTGTGGAAACATTCATAAGGCGAATAAAGTCCTCGCAAGACTGGAAACAAAAATAGAGGCAAGTCGGCAAAAGGGGAGATATGTCTATACACAAATTTATCTGCATGGGTGATTACAACGTAAAAACTAAGAACTAAATTTCTCGACCGGGAGCGGTCTCTTCTTTTTCAGGTTCCCCCCCATTTTCGAATCCGCTCTTGCTCCCATCGTCGTCGTCATCACTATCAGAAACCAGAGCTTCAGCATCAGCTTCGAGTTCTTTTGCCCTTTTTATCTCTTCAGCGAGATCGAAGCCGCGAGCATGAATCTCCTCGAGAGTTTCCCTTCTAGATCGACACTTAGCAAGTTCGGCGACCCAATGCGCTCGACTATCGGCGGACTCGGCTGCCTCTCTTTCCTGGACTTGGGCAGCTTCAGCATCGGCCGGATAGACGGCCACGAGCGCATCCGCATCGGCCTTTGCCTTTTCAGCATTGGATTCGGCCTTGGCGAGTACAGAGGCCAGCCGAGCCTCAAGCTCCTCAATTCTTCTTGCTTGAACCAGGCCTTTTTCCTTCATTTTCTGAAGTTGGGTTTCGGACGATGATAACTGGGCTCGAGCAGTCTCTTTTTCTGCAGCAAAGCGGTCCATACCTTCTTTCTACCGCAAGAACTCCATCCTTATCATGTCGACCTCCTCACGAAGCTTCCCGATCATCACGATTTTTTGCTGCAGCTATGAGATCGAAATGTTAGCTATCGTTCCGGTATCAAGCCCATAGGCTTTCAAAAGCATCATTACCTGCTCAGACAAATCATTCTGATATCGACAAGCCTTGGCCAACTCAGCTCGGAGGTCTTTTATTTCCTCCTCTCTCTTCCCTAAGGAAAGTCTAAGGGAGTTCCTCTCGTCAGTAGCGCGGTGTAGGTCGGCCGCGTATTGATGCAGCTCATTCTGGGAATGAGAACATTGTTCTCGATGGACTGTCGCTGACTACAAAGAAATAAGAAGCGAAGTTAACGAAAAACGAACATAAAGATAGTACCGACAAAATAATTTTAAAGGCTCACATGATTCAAAGCCTGCCGCAATCCGTGAAAAAGATCTGATTCATCACCGGCACCGGCAACGTCCTCAATACCGGTAAACAGGTCACGAAATGGATCTTCTTCATCGTGAGGCCTGTCTAGATCGAGGGCTCCCAGAGCTTGAGCTTCCCGAATCACCCCTGCGGAAAAAGCGGGAAAGGTAGGCGAATCCTCGATTGCTGCTGCCCCAAATGACTCGCTTGGAGCGTTCCCCTCAGCTCGGAGGGGTTCGAGGGGCTCTTCAATCGTATCCCCTGCCGGGTGACTCCGATGAGAGGCGTCTTCGACATCCGATAGTTCGAAGACTCTACCTGAATCTTTCTCCGATATATCTTCAGTTCGAGGCGGAGCCTCATAGAGCATCGTCGATCCAGTCGGCGATGAGGCATCGGTGGCTCTCTTCGTTCGGACCGCCAGCGCGGACTCGTTGTTCTCTTCTTCTTCTTCTTCTTCTTCTTCATCTTCATCCCTTAGACGCAGAACGGATTCCACGGTCAAAGGAATGACATTCTTGTTCGGCTTACGAGCCGTCCTCTTCTTTGGTTTTGGATATTCGGGAACCGAGGCTCTCTTCCTTTTATTTTCCTTCACCGGCTTTGGGACAGAGGTCGAAACATCCTCCTCATTGGACATGAGCCTCAAGACCGCGTCTTTACCCAAACCTGCATGTGGGAAACCTTATAAAAAATATTTTGATAAATGCCTCGTTTAGATCATCAGAGTCTGAGAAATGAGCTTACCGTGATTTTTGGCCTCCTACCGACCCTTTGACAAATCACGCCATGAGCGCTCTGCGTATGTAGAGGTCGAAACAAGAGCTCGTACCCAGTTCTTGAGATCAGGGACCGCTCCAGGCATCTAAGGAACCGCTACATCACAAAAGGAGGAGTGTCGATAAGAGAATAAATGGAAGAACAAAATAAATGCAACAGCAAGATCTCACTTACGTTTCATATTCCACTCCTCGGGAAAGGGCATCTTTTCAGTCGGAATCAGGTCCGAAGTCCTTACTCGAATGAACCTGCCCATCCAACCCCGGTCCATGTCCTCGTCAATACTCGAGAACAGATCCTTGGTAGCCCGACGCTGGAGTTTTATTAACCCTTCTCGAAAAAGTCGGGGATGGTACAGCCGGATAAGATGATCGAGGGTGAACGACATCCCCTCGATTTTGCTCACAAAATATCGGATCAGGATAACGATCCGCCACAAAGAAGGATGGACCTGGCCTAGGGTTATCTGATATTGTCGACAGAAGTCAATAATGACGGAATCGAGGGGACCCAAAGTGAAAGGGTAAGTATATACATTCAAAAACCCTTTCACATAAGAAGTGATATCTTCGTCAGGGGTAGGTATTATTACTTATTTTCCACCCCAATTACAATCCTTCTTCAACAGATCGAGGTGCTTCTCGGTTATCGAACACATGTACCTCGATACCGGCTCACACCGGCCAGGGCCGATGAACCTTTATCAACCTTAAAATCTGAAGTAAGGACGCACGCCTCGGGAACACACTCCTCAGGCCGTGGTTCTGCCGGTGTCGAATCGGCGACACACTGTGAAGATGAAGCCTTCTCTTTCTGAGGAATGGTTTGCGATATTTTCGCCATTTTTGAATTCAAAAGTAAGGAATAGAAGAAAGTGACATAGATTTGGTAGAATTGAAGAGGGGTTTTTGCGGAAAGAAATCACAGCTTTACTGGTAAGTTGGAGAGTACGAAGAAGAACTTGGGAAATTTTGGAAGATAGAAGATGTAAAAATGGTAAAAGAGAAAAGTGGCCGACCACCGCCTGACATGCATTAAATACCTTGAAAGACTAAACTGACGGGACAGCTAGCAGATGTGTCATGGTCGAACCCGATGAAAACGACAAGATATAATCCGATCGAGCTGTTGAAAATCATATCGTTTCTCGCCATATTCTTTCTGAGAAACGAGGGGACTATCTGTATATGGTCGAAATAGATTTCAGTCTTGGCATGTCCGATCGAGTTCGAAGGGTGATGTATCGAAGTAAGATCCCGAAGGGGGGACGAACTAACCTCGAACCCGGGGAGGCCGGTCCGTATCGAGATCGATATCATAATCAAACTTGAATAAGAATCGAACCATGATGCAGGATAGACCTATCGTGCTGATAATCTAGAGACCAACCAACATTGACCTGGAATTAATTCGAGGGCTCGAACCAAGATCACATGTTCGAGCCGAAATCAAGCTCAAACCAAAATCGAGGATTCTAAGCAAGATCGAGCTCGAGGAAAAAAGCCGTTGCAATCCCACTAGAGAGAATCTTGGCAGAAATTATGGAAAAGCTGACTTATCATGGGTCTCCCACTGAATGTTTATTTTATTATGCTTGGAGCCGAATCCCTCCACTATAAAAGGGCTTGGTTATCATTTATGTAGGACAAGTTTTCTGAGACTTACATTGTAATAAAAGTACTATACTCTTCTACAGTAAAGAATCGCTCTTTCAGTTTCTTAGATTGATTCTATTTGTCGAATCCTAAGGTTCATTGTTCTTGGTAACCTTATCTAGATTGCATTCTCTCCAATCTACATTTATATTTTATTTATCCTTGCATTTTGTATCAAGTTACGCTACATATCCTCGGAACTGCGTATAAATTCAACTCTATCCATTTTTCGGGTAAACAGATTGTTTGCCTCTCACAGCAATCATTGCCACTGTGATGGCTTCCATTCTTATTGAAACACGAAGTAACGGAGGACAAGTCTTCTTATGATCGACTGGATTGAGGCGGGGAGCAAATCTAGTGGGAGGTGAACCAAGTGGGCTTCCGGGTGGAGGAGGAGTAACAGTCTTCCCCTTCTATGAACATCCACCATCACCACTCGCATCTCTTCTTACCAGAGCATACTAATGCTTCCAATCTTGTCATCTTCTGATTGTTTCAATCGACGTCTTAAAGTTATTTTTCTAATAGTTTTTTATTTCTACATAATTTGAAATCATCTCAGTTATGATTCAAGTTGTATGATTTGGTTTCATTTTGTGCATGTGTTTATTTTTGTCAAGTTTTGTTTAGCATACTTGAAACATGACTTGAATATTGTTTAGTCTTACTAGTTCACAAATGTGTCTGCTTTGTTATTGTTGTCTTTGCACTTTTAATTAATTAACTGATTGCCTTTTTAAAAAAATAGGAATGAATAAAAGTTGGTTGAATATTAAGAATATAGTTGACCAAACGTATAGAGATGGAGTCGGCGGCCTTCTCAATCGGGAGTTCAGTCAACCAAGGGTGAGCATTATGATTCCATGTCCTTGTAAAGGGTATATAAACACCTTGTTCAAGCTAAGCATTGGTGTAAGAGGAGACTAGTTGAGGAACGGTTTCTAGGATTCTTATAAAGTGTGGAAATTGCAAAAGAAATTGGAAGAGAAGCCTGAACACGTGAATGTAGAAGTAGATAAGAGCATCCAAGACAATTGACTGCTTTTACGACCAGAATGCAATAGGTACTTGCTCTTGCTCCTTCTTGATAAATTTTTCTAGTTCTACTAGAATTCTGGTGCTATTTTATTTGTATTTTGGTGTCTATTGTAATATAATTGTCTATATCTGCATTCGTTTATCGGCATTCTGGTGCTATTTTATCAGTAATGTGGTGATGATATTACCGAATCTATTTTATCAGCATGTAATGATGATATTGCTGAATTCGTGTGCTATTTTTATGACTTAATCCAGATAATTAACCTTTATATCAAAATCTTTAATAAATCAAGCTTTAATCACTGCATAGTGCTATATATAGCTTCAATTTAACATATAGTTGTTGATTTTCCTAAACCTACAAACTTGCCAACTCCCAGTTTACTACCAAGTTATAAATGCAGTTAGAGTGTTACAATGTGATTTAACCTGATCATTAAATGATTCTGTTAGGTATAAAGTTGTATTGCTATTTTTATTTTGAAGAGGATATGGATGTTTTGAGATGGTTGTCTGGTAGGGAGATCAGTAGTTGTGTTTTACGCATAGTCCAGTGTGGCAGCTTACTTGTTTGTTTTTGCAACTTTAGTGTGGCAGCTTACTTGTTTGTTTTTGCAACTTTATTGCCTTTTTCCTGGTCAACTTTGGATCTGATCGAAGGTTGGGAAGATTAGTCTATATCACTTTTATCATTGCGTTTATCTGCATTTTCAACATATTAAGCTAAAGATAATTCTATATGCTTGCTTCTGGCCTCTGAATATCATAGTGCTACGATACCTATGCAATTGATCTGGGTAAATTTGGGTGTAGATGGATAAAAGAAACTTGTTAGCTCATTGCTTTCGCTTTAAGAGAACTCTTGTAAGAATTGCTGGCTACTTCATTTGTGCACAATACTGTCTTAAGAAAATTCAGTGCTCTTTTTTGTTGCCTTATTCTTAGTTATGTTGTTTGGGTGTTTATCAAATCAATTCGTTTATTTGGTTTGCTACACTTTGACATGTTATTGCATGCTTGAAAGGCTAAATTGATGATGAAGCTTAAAAGAGTTCTCATTCAACCCCTGGATTACGTGTGCCATGTGATAACAAAAGATTTATTAATTTATGTTTGGGAGTCTTGAAGCTTTTTTTATATTTATCTTGAATAGTTGGGTGATATTGTGTTTAGTGTTGCTAAGATTTATCTTTGAATGTGCTGAAACTATTGTCATTGATTTATAGTCTTATGTGCTTTATGTCACCCCTTTTTCTTTTAAGCATTAAATTATGAGAATTGTCAAAGTGATCATGTGTTTTTCCTTAATAACAGGGACAAGATTCTTAAACGATGACGTCCACCAAGGAAGAGATTGAAGGCGCGCACCGAATATTTTGTGTTTTTGGTCATATGTATATAGTAAGGCTGGCAAGTGGGCCGGTTCAGGCCCGGGATCGGCCCGGGACCGCGGGCCAAACGGCTAAACGGGCCAGGACCGTTTGGTCCGGTTTTAGCGGGC